AAGGATATAAGACTAGCCAGGATGTTGTGGAAAAAATGAATAATTTAATATAATTTATTCGAATTGGAAGATATTTTACCAAGGTTTTCCCAAAATTATTAGCTAAGTGATAGTGAAGTAAATATCAGCTAAATTGCGTAACATCTGAGCCATTTTCTTTAACGGATCAACCCCTATAAAAAAAACAGAATTGTTAAGCTACAAACCATTGTATGCTAATTCGACTGTTCGTTTTATACCTTCAAAAATTTATCTCAAAGTAAAAATATTAAGAACAGAAAGGGAGAAAGAGAAATGGAAAAATAGTCATCCCCTTTTTTAGACATGAAAAGGGAATCGTATAGTATATTAAAGCCTTTTTGTAGTTGGTAAGAAAATTAAATTCTGCTTTTTGTTAACAAGCCTCTTCAAAAGCCAGAAGTTTATAACTGAAAAAAATAACGTGTAATTACAAACGGAAATGAGAAAATATATATGAAAATAATTTCCAGGAAAGCTAGATAAAAAATGTACTAGAGACTTCTATTCTAGAACAGGATGCCACCTGTTGAAATTATTTATGTATCAAAAGATCTCTGTAACCGATAAGACATGGTTTTACATCTCCCTAAAGGCAGATGTTTGTAGTTAAAATATAAAAATCTCTTACTGCAAACTCTTTAATATACTTCATTAATTAGTTTTCGAGTTAGGTTTACAAAGATGGTTCAAAATTAAGAAATATCTTTAACATTAATTTATTAATCTATTCTTTTGAGAACGACTTTTTAAAATTCTAAAGAAAGTAAAATATTCGAATAGAATCTAATTGAAACTTTCTTTAAGTTAAAACTTTTTTGTACTAGATATAATTTAATTTTTTCTTTATTCTCTCCTTTTTTTTGTTTGCGCACGCAGTATGTTAACATCAAGAAAGGAAATATTAATTTTATAAATTTCTTCTTTGAAAAACCTCTACAAGAATAATTAATTACTTTTTTAATTTATATCGTTTAAGGGAAATAAAAAGAAAGTGAGAGAGAAAGAAAGAAAGAGAGAAATAGAGAGAGAGAGAGAGAGAGAGAGAGAGAGAGAGGAGGGGGGCGAGGGGAGTTACTGAGTGACTATGTGCATGAGTAAAAGAGAATAAAAACAGGGGTTAAAAAAATTGGCCATAGCGTTTTTGTGCTAAAATGATTAGAAAAATGGCGGAAAAAGAAAATTATATAGATTTTGTTGGATACTTTACAAGAATTTTTTTGTTTAAAAACATTTTCTAGCCTATGCAATTGATTAGTAAGTTTTAAGGTAGCTAATAAAGGAAAAAGAAATATATTCTTGTGCCTTGAAATAGTTTGAGAGGAGAAATAGAAAAAAAAGTAAAATATAAGAAAGAATATAATATTATTAATTAAAACTATTAGAAATAAGGAGAAAAATGAAAGGATTTGGGCGTCTGCTGTTATTTTCTTTTAATTTGATTTCCTCAAGGACATATCGTGTTTAACGTTCGATAAGAAAGTGATTATTCCTCTTTTCTCTACATATATTATATATATTTTTTACTCATACTTTCTTTATGATAAAATAGAAATACATTTTTACAGTATATACTTATATATATAAATGTATATATATATATATATATATATATATATGTATAAACTAGCAAATGCATTTCTTTTTATAAATCTACATTTACATACATTTTTTTCTCTTAAGGTATATGAAAGACGGAAAGAGTAATGTTTTGATTATTTTCATATACAGTCTTATAGAGTATAAGAAAAAAATCTCTCTTTGTTTCCTTTTTTCTTTTTACTATTATTAATATTTTTTGCTGCGTAGAAAATATACTAAAACTTTTCTCTAAAATAGAAAATTACAAGGTGACAATTTAGTTCGATTCATTCAAAACTGTTAACCCACTTGACCTATATAGAAAAAAAAATGCAGTTCCATCAACTTTTATTACAAATCTCTGTGTGACTATTGAAATGTTTATGGTGTAATTTTTTTCTACTGTTTACCTCAAAGCTAAGTTAAAAAAGACAAAAAGGAAAAAAAAATTGCAGAGTTATTTAATTTACTCTTCTTCTACTCATTCTTATTCTTCTTCATTTTCTTCTTCTTATTTAAGTCTAAAATGATGTAAAAATAAGTCTAAGCCTTATTATTTATCATTTAAATTGTAGATAATGTATTTTAAATATTTCTTTATATATACTTTTAATAATTTATAAATCTGATATGAAAAATCTTTCTAATTTCTTTTTCAAATGTATTCATAAATTAGTATGAATGTATATACTGTATACACTATATATATATATATATGTCAGCAATATATAAGGGAAATTTAAGTTTACTTGGTAAATTTTTTTAGTCAATAATTGATTTTCTTTAAAAGAGTGAAAAAAAATCGAAATTGTTCACAACTTGTTTCGTTTGTGTTTTTCATTTCTTTGAAAGTTTTCCAATTGTTTGAGTTTAGTTTTTTAACCTTTGTTTAGTATGTTATTTATTAAGAAATAGTATTAAGTTTTTAATGAAATTTCTCTTTTGACAATGTATAATAAATTGTATCTTTTTTCTTCTTCCTTCCTTTATCTTCTTATCTTTCCTCCCTTGTGAATTTGTAGAACACAAAAGTATCAAAACACATTTTTTCTAGACAAACGCCACCTTTTGCTAAATAAGTTAAAGAATAAATCCTGTGTCAAATATTGTACAGATTCTAAATTTTTAAATCGTTTTGTTTGTTCGGAGCAGCAATTGCAGCAGTCATATAAAAAGTTGTATGTATCTGTTACATAATTATCGTAATTATAGCTAATTATTATCGACTTACCTAATATTTGGCTCTGTGCTAAATGTATAACATGTAAAAATGGAAAAGAAGGAAAAAAAAAACATTATAGTATATTAATTGTTATTTTTTTTGGACATCTGCTTGCTTCTTTTGTCAAAAGATAAAAATGATAATGTAAAATACACTTTGCTCTATTCAAAAAAATACATTATATTGTAATTATAAAGAATAAAAAATCTATTAGATATGCGTTCTTTTCCGGCTCTGTTTAGCGTTTTAGCAGATAAGACAGTGTAATTTCCGGTAGACTTTAGAAAAACTTGACGAAAAACTTGAGAAGGCTTTATTTTAATTATTAAAAGATTTTATGCTTTAACTGGAGAGGATCACTTTTATTGCATTTTTGGTAAATATTTTCCGCTACTAATCAATAAATGGATGTGGATAAATGTAAAGTAAACTGCGTAATGGCTTTTAAGTTTTATTGTTACAATTATTGTTAAAGAATGGATTTATATGGTCAATAGACAAAAAAAATATAGAATACGTTCAAGCCTTGCCTTTTCATTCTAAATTCGCTTGCTCTCGATGGACAAAACTCTGCTAACTTATTCTCCCTCTTTTCTTTTCATAATGAATGCATTTTAATCTAATATCATATTTTCGATATCATTTTCTTTATCCAAATAACAAATAGCAGGGGCTAAGTATTCAATTAAAACTTACTTATTATTTATAAAATATATTATACTTTATTATCTTTTTAAAAATTAAGGTACTCTTTTAAGGTACTCTTTTATTACAATAGCATTTTCTGTTTATTTGTTATATTGTGATAATCAACATATTGATTCATAATAGTTCATTTTTTATGATTTGGCAAAGTTCACCTTTAATAATCAAAAAAAGTAAATTGAACAAAAATTGTAGGAAGTTTAGGTATTGGGATTTTATTACTCTTATATATGGCCTATTAAAATCAAATCATCCATCTTCTTACTATTCATGGAGATGATTATTTTGTCGTTTTGTTTCTATTGTTAAGTCGCTTTTCTAAATAATAAATTGCATCAATAAATGTAATAAATTGTTTCACTTAATGTTGTTTTCAGATTTATTAGTGGGGTCTATTGGTAGAGGGGAGTTCTCAATAATGGTAAGCACAATTTTTATGGCTTTTCAAGAACCCTTAAGGTAAACTCGACTAAAAAGTTACTTTAACTGTATGAGGCCTAGAAAAAAAGAAAGAAAGAAACTTTTAGTCTTATTGACTGCAGAAGACTAGCAACGACACCCAGGGCCAATTAATAAATACTATTAACTTTTCCCACTATAGTCAATAATTCAGGTAAAGCAGTAAGCGTTTGTTGCCTTTTACTGCACATTATTTCAAGTAACCAACTACCTAAATGCGTACCTCAAAAAATGTATTAATTACATATTATCTATTAGTAATTGATCAATATTCAAAAGATAGGAAAGTGATTTCTATCCTTTTTAGGAGTACACACACAAACTCGACTTGCAATGAATTACTTTCAAAATACTTTTTAATATTAAAAAAAGAGAAACAGAGAAGGAAAGCTGTCTTTTTTAAAGATATCCATTGTGATTTGTCATCATAATTAATCGAATAGTTAACTGTTAGTTAAGAGGGAGAGTGGTAGCAAGTGGGAACAGACAGAAAGAGAGAAAGAGGGGTAATATTGTATACACACTGTATATTATACAGTATATATATATATTTGCACAGCACATATGTGAATGCTTGTAGACAGAAAACTAAAATTACGATTGACTGCTAGCACCAATTAACATAAATACGAATTGAATTGTTCGTTGCATCTGATTCCAGACTGAAAATGTTCAATAAAATTGAGAGGGAGGGGGAATCCGAGGATATATATTCTGTAGGTCTGTATTAAAATGGTCTGTCTTTAAACTAGATAGAATATTCTCATATTTGCATGAAAATTATCTATTATCTTGCTCTCATTATGGGTTATATTAAAATTTCATAAGGTCATTTATTAATATTTAATCAGTCTGTACTAACTCTATTCAATAGTAGATACAAATTTCTTTAAAAAGACAGATAAACAATAAATTCTTTATGAAAGAAGCAAATATAATTTCTTTTTTTCGATGAAAGCCGTTTTAAACTACTAATATACTGTACTTGGATATTATTTATTTTTCCGATAGGTAGCGTTCTGTATTCAACTTTGAAGATTATAGGTAACATTAGGTAATATTAGTAATAATTATCTATATTTTATATGATAGAAGACATGGAATAGCACTGTTTTTGTATTAGAATTAGAAATTTCCCTATATAATTCTATACTTGTACACATAAAGTGTTAAGATTATAGCTGTATATTTATTTTTGAACGTAATGTCTATTTAGAGCATTCAATAATAAAAAGGAGGTGTAATAATAAACATCCTATTTCAATATCATAATATAAATGAAAGATTAGCAGAGTATTTTTAGGATGGAAAAGTAAAGAATGTAAATATTTTTCTAACAAAGCTATGCACTAAATCCTCGGAAACCACTTGGAATTTTGTAGATAATGTCTTTACGAGCAAAAATAGCTTCCTTTTTGTTTAATGTTCCAATAAATTTGTATAGATGAGTATCTAATAGTAATTTTTTAATATCATCTAATTTCCTTTCTGTTTGTCGATTGTAGTTGTATTCCACGAGTATTACATCAATAGGAACTAGTGTATAATCTATACTACGTAATGCTTTAACATTAGCTTGTTCTTGTTCGATAGAGAGAAAATTCACTCTCTGAAATGGGGTTGCTTGTACTATTTTGTTGAATGGAAAAGATTGAACTTCTATAATGTCTCTTTTCTGTTTTCTTGAATCTTTTAAACTCATACCAGCAAAAGTAGACCTTGGTTCGTAGATTACTGGTCCTGATTTGTTGCTTAAACTAATTGCCGCGTTAATTAGATAAGCATTTCTATTTCTTTTGTTTAGTAGTTTGAATAAAAAGGGATCAACTTCCATCAAAATACCAGTCCAATGACGTTCTCTTTCGAAGAATATTGTCTTTGATGAAACAAGTCCATCCGCTGCTCCACACTCAATGAATATGCCATTTTTCTTACCCTTTAAAAGTAAATCAACAAAGGTTGATTGTTGATTCCTAATAATATTTATAATTTTCGTATGATGTAATCCAATTCTCTTCGTAGGTGGAGCTTGTAAATATCTTTCCCTAATATAATCAACCAAACCTTTAGTACTTCTTCCATTTTCTAGGTCATATATTATATCCGAAGACCACTTCAAGTTTTGTCTATTTCTTTGTTTCAAAGTTGTTCTTTGATCTGCTATGAAAAAGATTAGTAGGAAAATGCAGGTAAATAACATGAAAACTATTTTATAATTCGCTTTCATGTTGAACAAACAACTAGTTTGATTAATTCTAAGTGATCCTCTTTTTTTATATGTATATGTTTTTTTTTTACATTAACGCTTATGTATATATATATATATATATATATATATGTGTATCAATATCTATATATATGTATATAAATTAATATATATGCAGATACATGTGATAATAATATTAAATGTATCTATCTATAAATATACATGAATTTAATTTATGTATCGTCATTGAACAATAATAAATATATTTGTATAGTCCATACATATACTTTCTTTATCTCTATCGATGAAAATATATATACAGTTTACATATATATTCACATATATATATATATATAAATTGTATTTATATAGGTGCGTATGTCTGTAAGTATGTAAAGTATATGCCAAAGTCTCAACGCAACTCTGGCAGATTTGATAAAACTACTCATCTGTCTGCAAATAAACAAGTTCATGTATACATCATAGGCGAGAGACTATACAAGTTAATACTATACATATGCTTATATAAAAAATTTAATATTATTAATTTTTTATTTTTAACGTTCTTAAACCTATTTTGACTAGCACAGTAGCGACATCTATTAACTCTTATTGCAAGTATCTGAAATAGTTATAGAATAGGGCTAATATATCTAAAATATTATAAGAAATTACTTTATGGTTTTATAATAGATTTTAGTGTAAGAATACCGAACATTAAAAGAAAAAAATCGATTACTACTCTTTCATAATTAGAATTTAGCAAAAAAAAAGACAAAACTAGGTAAAGAGAAAAAGGAAATTTGAAACTATTAAAGGCAATTGGTAATTAAATATTATTTCATTAAAATATTTAATATCAAGAATAGATAAATTATTAAGTTAATTGTAAACTTTAACACTATATATACTAAGTTATTCTTATTATATTAATTATAATATGTACTCAACTTTTTTCTTCTTTTACTTATAGGAGTCTTATATTAATTATTCTGATCATTAACATATTTTTTGAATAGCCTGCCGAATTTCTTTTGTAGATTTCATATCCACTTTCTTATATATACTTTCCAGGTTTTCCAACAGATTATCGACTTTTTTTTCAGAGTTGATATCAATACTTTTTTCTTAAACCTTTCAAATTCCTTCGTAATACGACTTTTGCAACTTGTTCAAATCTTATCTTCGTAAAATAATCGCAAATATACATTACATACTCTATTAATAGTCTTACTGATAGAGCAACTCTTTCTACATTTCGACAAAGAACTAGTAACATAATGGGCAATGGTAAAAAAATCTTTCAAAGAGGCTATCTGATTGCTTCCTGGACTAAAGCGATTCATTAGTAAAAATCCTTATTATTTGATAGGCTGATATCTTCCCAGAACTATTATATAATTTGTTACATTGTCAGCTATTTGTATTCTTTAGCGGATTATTCAAATATCAAAATATCTGAATAATTAACATTTTATATCATCTTCTGCCATCTTTTAGTAGAAAGAGATATTTGTGTCTCAGTAATTTTTATATTACGAACCGATTCATAATCCATAATATATACTTAGTCAAACTCATCTATCTTTCATTTTTCTTCCTTAATGGGTGTTACTATCCTGCACATATTTTCACCTTCTTTTCCTTTTTCATTATTTACTTTGACAAATAAAATCATCCAAAATTGTCCCTGGCTGTTCTAAAGAGTCTTTCAGGAGTTAAATTAAAATATCTATCTCTTTCTAAATGGCTAAAATAACTTTAACCTTGTTTTCTAATGCATTAAGGCATATGTTTTCTAAATATTCCTTACATAAAAATTCCCATCCATATGCCATTCTAGCAAAACCCTTAAAAGTTTTAGATTGTATCTGTCTTCATAAAAGGTCAAAGTGAACGTTCATGTATACATAATTATTATATATATACATACACTCTATGTATATAATAAATCATTCAGTTTATATGACCAAATTGCAGGAACATTGTAAATTATTTACCGTGATATATTCCATACTAATAATATGTAATAAGAAAAATAGTTAAGCTATAAGAATACTTTTAAATCAAACGGATCAAAGGAAAAGACAATGTAATATTTGGAACTTACGTCCCTAAAGGTTAAAATAGGAATTAGTAGGCCTTGCATTACCTTGTATAAATCGTTAAATACTCCTGTCGATAAGGCGCGTTCAACGCAAATAAAATACGAAGCGAACAAATGTGTACGGGGGATTATATTGTCCACACTTTTCATTATACGAAAAAAAAATGCCCTGCTATGATCGTTTTGCAAGACTCGAACAAAAACATGTAAGACCGAGTGGGAGGACGCTGTCATGGAATTCTTGCCTTTTGCAATTATTACCCCGAAGGTTAAACTTCCTACATCAAAAATCCTATACACTATCTACATTTAATCTCTGTGCTAGAAGAAAAATCATGGGTAATTGTCAAATTTAGTAAGTATTCATAATTTACTTAAACCAAGCAAAATATGACAATTTCAATAAGTTAAAAAGAGGGAGAGAGAGAGAGAAAGGGGGGAAAATGACATTATTTTCAAGATTTTTGCTTAAAATACTTGTTCTAAATAGGATTAATAAATCGTGCTTTATACCTCTTTACTTGAATAATTAAGTTCATTGATTAACCCAATTTTAATCGTTTCAACTAATAAAATTCTAATCGTGATTCTTACTAAGGAATCAGTTCGATTAATTTGCTATATAAGAGTAAACAAAAGGAAAACTTGAAACTATTAAATACTCTAGTTAAAAGTTAAAATCATTGCATTCAGTATTAGAATCGGTTGAACTATAGCATTAGAATCTAAAGTGTACTCTAGTCGAACTGAAGAGCTTTGGTTTTCTACGAATAATGTATTTAAAATAATATAGTAAATTGTTAAAATAGGATTAAATAAAGAATTATATATATATTATTTATAAATATGTAATGTTTAAAGTTAACCTTTAAACAAGACTTGCGTGTAAAAATGGACTAGACGACTAGACGATATCAGCATTATTTTATGAATAGAATAGGAAAAATGGAATTTTCTTTTGAAAATAATCTCATTAACAAATTCAACGACTACTGTTGAATATCAAGTATAATATATAATATCTAATAAATTAGATATATCATTGGAATTTCATATAATAAAATAAAAGTCATAAAATATATAGACTAATGAAATAGCCTGTAGATGGCATTCTAAATCGTTAGTTATAAATATTACATTTGGTTTTAAAAAAACTATGCAAAAGGATTAAGAACGAAGTATAATCCCTTACGATAAAGATTGTTTTTGAGTTATTTTAATGTTCACCTCCAAAAACATGGCAAATCAGTTCGCCTTACCACCGCTAATTAGACGTCAGAGAAGTAAAGCAAATGATGCACAGTCGAATTTTACCGAAATGTATAGAAGTTTCCTAAAGTATCGTAAGAGAAGATTCCAATCGATTTTCTCAGCTATATCGACTATGGATATTTAGTAAGTTCCGTCTTGTGACTTTTTCCATTATATAGAAACTTAAAAAATTAATTAAAAAAGTCATTTTCCTTTTATAATAATTCTAAAAGGAGAAAAGAATATTTCTTAAGAAATTTTCAACAATTTCTTAATTAGTTTTTATGTATGAAGGCAATTAATTCAACTTTTTAAATTCTTAATCACCATTCAATTTTATAGAAAAAGAGTGAAGGTATATTTTAACTTTAATTATTAAATAAGTTCTCCCTTTTTATTGGAGTTATCTTTATTTTATTAGGTAAAATAAAAGGACTTTTAATAATTTTTTCCTCTTTCTTTTTCTTTTCCTTCTTTTTCTCTAAGATAGATCAATAGCGATCGTTTAAAAATAAATTCTTCTATTATAGTTAAGAACCTATTCAAAATGTATAAGGGTGGGGGTGAAGTGACGAGTGCCTGTGCTTGTGGAGCTCGAAGGGGGGCGGGGAAGTTGGGGGAGGTAGACTAGATGAGGTTAGTGGCCATAGAAAGACAGACAGATTGACGGAAAATGGACAGAGAGATAATAAAACAGTAAGTGATACTAAAAGTAAAAAAAAAGTACTTTTTTTACATAAGAAAACAAGAGAAGAATGAATAACTTCCGACAGCTTACGAATACTTTGTCGTCTTATCAATTTACTCCTTTTAATAGGTAAATGAATTCAAGTATTTGAACTAGTTTATTTTTTATATATAATCATACTTAAACTTTTATTAAGTTTTAATATAAAAAGGTTTAGGGACCTTTAACCTCTTATATTTTCTATACTGCTCCCGAAATAAGTGCAACGAAGTTGGAATATAATGAACATATACAAGTAAATGCTTAGTATTATTTTTTAATAATTAGCAGTTGAATCTGGCTTAAGTAAAATTATATTATTGCATATAATTCAAATCTTCATTGAATGGGATATTTTTAATAGTCTCTTATTTATTGATTTTGATATTTTAAATAAAAAATTAATATTGATAATTTTATAGATTGTAATTAATTCTAAAAATTAAATACAATAAAACAATAAAGAAATTTTGTTAATTGAGGTAAAAATTAAAGTAGAAATTATTGGAAAAATATAGAGGACAAAAGGTCAAGAAATATTGTTAAAACTAGTTAAAATTTATAACTTTTTATTTGTACTTAATCTAATAAATAACTTGTAAAACATAAAATAAATTATTATTTTTAACGTTCATTCAATAAGTCATATATTAGTATATGTAATTGTCTATAATAAGACGTTTATGGTATATTTATATAAGCATGTACAAGAGAGAAGTTTACACTATAAATATATATTTGGATACTTTTATTACAGTAGGTACTTGTAAACACGGAATTAAACTTAAAATAATAATAACTATATTAAATTTATTAATTATTCACTAATTAACGATTCACTAATTACAAAAAAATAACTAAACATTTCCTTCCTTTTATAAAATATGCGTAATATGATTATACGGAATATACTATATATACTAATATACAGTATATACAATATATTTGTTTATTTTATATAGACTATTATAAACATAATGAGTCGATTCAAGATTGATTATCTTTATATATACATTATAATTTCTTACTGCTAAAATAGAATATATAAGAAAGCACTATTTTAATGATAATAATAACAATGATAAAGGTTTCTTTTCCATGCTCAAAAGCTGGTATTGAACAATACAAAATTTATTATTTCAAGGTTAAAATATCGGATACGAGTTCAGAATACGTAACTAATCAAAACAAAAAGAGAAAAAAAGACTACATTTTTTTTACATAGTTGCTTAAGAAAATCAATTATTTTTTATATGCAACTTATAAATATTCTTAGCTAATTTCAACAATAAACTTTAAACATTCCTTACTGTTACATAATTCAATTCTCTTGAAAAAGCTCTAGCCAATGAGCAAACGAACGGAATGGTTACTATACCTAATTGATTGAATGTGATGCACTATCGCGCATTAGTTATTGCACAGTGCAGCTAGTCGTCAAAGTTCGATTTTCGTTTTCAAGCGTTTTTTTGAATTTGCCACCAAATCGAATTTTATGAATGAAAAAACAGAATTCAAAATTCGTTTCAATCAGTTCACTTTGTCAAAAATTTCAAAAATATCGAAAAGAATCGACAACGATGATATTCGGACTTTTGTAAGTTTATTTAATTTACATTATATTTGTTTATAAACAATAAGAAAATTAGAGAAAATTGAATTAATTTGCTTCTGATATAAAGAAACTCTTTTAAGATGTTTGAGAAAAAAAATTGATTTACGAGTAGGTGTATAGCTGTTGATTTTAACTTAATTAGTAATTGGCTATGTAATTTGATCAACAAAGAGAAAGTGCGAAAGCGCGATAACTTCATTAATAAATTCTTAAATATCGATCATATTTTATTGGATTTAACTTTTAGCTTGGAACTGTGACATGTTTTTTTCTTATAAAGTTATTCGACGATTATGGTAATTTGTAGTTTTTTTTATCAATCTCATTGAAATTCATTATTGATTGTCAAAATAAAAACGGTATTAGTTTTTCATAATCTACTTCCTAACCTTTTTTTAAACATATCTTCTTGTTTTTATTCCCTTTTTAGATTTTCTATTATTATATTATTCTCTTTTGTTATCCTATAAAAATCTGTCTTCGTACTCTGAACTTGCTTTTAAAACTTTGAACAGCGAAATAATCAGGGAATTAATGGCTTATATATAATAATTGTTAAAGGAATTAGCTAAAATTTCTATTTTTAAACGTAAAATGTTTTTAAAAGTGTTAGAAAGTGGTTAATGACATTAACCTAGGGTAAACGAAATTTGTATACGATAATTATTTATCAAGGGAACGGTACAGCTCCCTTTTCAAGATATCATTTAGCATTCAGTTTCCTATACTATTACTTTAACATTTATATTAATAATAATAATTAGTAATTAGAAAGTTTTTAAAAATAGATTATAGTTTTGCTATAGCTCAGTAAAATTGACAGTTTCTAAGATAAAGGAATTGGAGACTTTTAGTTATTCATTGCGGGCTGACATTCACTCCGAAAAAAAATATATTTTTAATTTGATTTAAAGCAGACGACAATAATTAAAATGATACGACATTGATATTTTTGTCGCACTATTGTGTGACCGAAGCAGCCAACGGAACCATACCAGCTGCTTGGGTGGCAACTGATTCTTGCTCCTTCCTAGCCGGTTGAACCTGCTTGACAGTAGTTAAAGAATCGACTGGGACTGGAGGAGGACTTCTCGGTTGATCCTGATAATCGGAGAATGATGTTAACGTTGTATCGAGATCAGGGGGAGGCGGCTCCTGCCTTGGTACCACTATCGTAGGCACTAATAGCGCTACCGTTAACGTTAAACCTCCAATGCAAAACAAGATCAATCCGACTAATTTGCAAACATCAAGATTCATATTGAAATTGATGGCTTGATTATCTAGTATGTCATAATCATCTTCAGTTTCGGCTACTATAACGGTTTTTTGGGGAACTAAATAGCCAACTAGAACTCCAACAATGCCAAAGATTAATAGGTTTGCGCCAATCCAAACGAAAACTTTCCACCATATAGAACTTATACACCGACGCCTTCGTGTTGCATTTTCTTTCAAAAGAAGTCTAAAAAGCGAGTAAGAGAAATATAAATTGAACAAATGCAACTAAATTGTATACAGCATAGAGTAAGAAGACTGTAAATGGGGAGGATATACTTGTATATATATATATACTTTATATATATAAACAGTATAAATAATACTATGCCTTTATTATTCTATAATAATGAACATCTCGAAAAAAATCATTTGTACTTTACAATGTCAAATCTGTTATAAAGCCTATTAACTAATTGATTATAAAGATATTTCTCAAAACTATAAAAATAGAAAAAATATCCTAACAACTTGACAACAGTCTTTTTGGTTATTGATCAGCTTGTTCGTATTGTTAGACAGTTTAGATTTGTTCAAAAAGAAATCTTTAATGATTATACTATTACATCGATGTTCTTTTTATGCATTATATGTATTTATCAAAATGATAAAATTAAGCGTTGGTAAGAATAGATAGTACGTCGTCTACCTAGTATTACAATTGACAATAGTGCTTAGTTTGTAATAAACATAAAGTAGGGTTGTTTGAAAAATTTTAATAATGTAAGTTGTAATTTAGGTATTACAATTAAAATAGAGGGAGGTGGGAGGAGGATAAATCATTCAGTTAGATTGTATAAATATTAATTGTTTCGTTTAATTAATTATTGAGATATTAATGAATGTTGTCATTTTCATTAAATTGACTTTTAAAAAATCATTTCTCGGCATTTAATATAAACTTTAGGCAGTATATATACTGTATATACACCTATATGTTTATGTACTTTCTCTCTTGTGCTATTTATATACTTGTTTAATGCTTTTGTCCAACGGAAATTACATAGAAAAGAAAAAATACTAAAAAGTCTGGACGATAAATGCAATGATAAAAGAAGGCTAAAGAGACCACATGTTGAGGGGAAAATCACAGTTCTAATTGTATAATATTTAATCATAGTAAGCATCAGCTATCTGATTGAGAGAGGATTAATTAAACTAGGACTAAATTTACCTGTTAATAAAAAAATATATATACTGTATATAATATTTATACTGCATATATAGATATATTGTAAATCCTACTTCAGTTACAACTTGTAAACTTTCTTAAAAATGCTATATTTATTATGAATTTGTGGCTAAATCTTACTTTAAATCATCATCTTCGTAAACATCTGGATCTTTATATGTGTGAATAGTATCGTAGAAGTGGTGTAAATAACTTTTAACTCCAAAGAAATCGTTCGAGTTCTCCTCTGTTACTTTTTCTAATTTAGGATCCTTTTTTACTTTTCTCCATTTGCCGAAACTTCGTCCTCGTCCTATCGTTTTAAAAATAGTTAGGTAACAAATCGTTATTAATCAAACATAGGGGGTATGTTTTTTACTCTTATTCGATAGCAGGCTGAGAATAATAGGTGAAATATGTTTGACAATACGAACCTGAACCATTATCGCCAGGAGTTTTAGATTTATCCTCCTCCGTCATTACTGGACTGAATCGATCATTATATTTGCTCCCTTTCAATTCATGGTCTATGAGCGGGTAAAATAAACAAATAAATTACAAATCAATGGAAAATTCGTTATGTATTCAAATAGGACCAAATTTTTATAGAAAAATAAGATTTTTTTGATTAAAGTATAGGAAATTAATTAAGGATTAATTTATTATTTTAATTTTTTGATAAAGATGTGTTAATATAAGTATAAGTTAAATTATAAAAAATACTTACATCCGTCCCTAACGCCACCAGGGGCGCTGTGAACTCACTCCTACATCTTTCTGAATAAATTAGTCGCCAGGGTGATCGATTTATTGACGTCTCTACGTGTTTCTTGTTTGGGAAATAGTTTGACTAATATTGAAAAAAATTAGCCTAACTTTATCAATAAGCCTATTCTGTTAAAAACAAATTTAATTTAATTTAAATTCTTTAATAAAAAAGCGCCATCTTATGTCTAAAATTGTCCTTTATAATCTTTTTGTATGGGAAATGGATTACTATAATCTTTACTTTTCAATGGAAGGGCAAATTAATTTTAAGTTTTCAAGAATGTCCTTAAGAAAGAGTCATAGCCAACTTGGCTCTTTTAAATTGGATGATTGGTTCTCCCCCGAAAATTATGAAACGTTTAATGCTTATAGGACCAGGCAGAGGTCGTTTTTTTCTCTTAGAAGGTATGAAGTTTTATATCAGCTACTGCCATCTATAATTGCGGTATAAATATAGTAATTACAGCTAATTTCCAATAGAACTCTACTATTAATAGACTCTTTTGTGAAATGTACAATCACTTGGGCTACAAGCCAATTCATTTGCGGATAATCCCCTAGCGATAATCCAACCCTTTATAGGGTGGCACTACACTAACATATTGTAGAATGGCATGGAGCCTTTGAGTGTAATAAAACAAACTTGTTTGAAATCGTCATTTAAGGCAGCACGATCAAGAAATTTGACCGTTATCGGATTAAAATTTCCTAATACAAACGAGTATAATTTTTATTATTAGCTTTAGTTTTAAAAATATCGTTTTAAATATGAGGTTTTTTAATGAAATTACTTTATATTCTATATCTATACGTATGACTATAAACTATAAAGAACTGTAAAAAGCTTTATATATAATATAACTTAAACAGCATAGAAGGTAATGTCCTTCATATCTAGATTATTAAGACATTAGTACAATCTTATGCTTTTCCAAGAAACTTAAGGTAACTTTAATACATAATAACTTTTTGTTCATTTTTTAAATATAATAAATATAGGGTGAGAAAACTGAAATATAAACTTACTTGAATAGGATTGAATACGTGGCCATGTGTGCTTTGTTTATCAATGTACTTTTAAAAATAATTTAATTATTGAAAAGGAGACAGAGAGAGAGAGAGAGAGAGAGAAGAAGAAGAAAGAAATGATTATTCTTTTAAAATTTGGTCGGTTAACATTTTTCTTTATCATAATTGTTTTATGTTCATATAGGTCTTCATATACATTCATAATTTAAGCCAACAGTTTTATTTATCTCTTTAGGATTGTATAATGCCATATACATATATATTTTATCAATCATTTCTAATAATAATATTTATTATAATCAAATAAATCAACTTTTAGAAATCAATATATTATTTTTAATTGTTGCTTAAATCTCCTTTATTATCTTTTATTTTGTTCTTGATCTTATTCAAATTAAAAATTTTTGCCCCTTCACTCTTTGATCTTCTCCCCACTTTACTCACTGTTTTAAAATATTCTCATTAATTAAACAAATTATTTAAACATGTACGCCATCTGTAGGGTATCTTTGGCATGGACATAGAAAAAGAGAAAGAGAGAGAGAGAGAGAGAGAAATATACAGAAATTAAAAAGTTTTACTAAATTTATATAGGATTTTCCAAGTGAAGAAGCAACAAAAATAGCTCAAATAGCATAACTAATTATCGCGTATTACATGATAATGACAATAATATCGGGCCAGATCATTATCTTGGTTTTTAAAAAAAATGCATTGAATACTGAAATAAGAGTAGAACACTATATTTAGAAAAACGAATAATTATTAACAGATTTTTCTCATTTGGTATAAGGCCTATAGTAAAAATATTGGAAAATGTATGAAACTTCTTATAGAAGAAACCGTGTTAAAACATTAAAAAGGCATTATCGGGAATATTTAACAATAGTATACTATTAATTATTCATCTTAACCTCGATTAGCAATGTTAGGTGATCTTAAAATCTTCTTTTTGGTTTTGCTTCCTAATATTGAACGCAGCAATACTTGTTTTGTTTCGAATTGTCTCTTCTTACAAAGCCTTTAGAATTGAATATTTACCTGATCAATTCTCGCCTTGGCATTCGTTCATTGCGTTTCGAATGGTGCTTATCAGTGCTGATAAAAGAATGGAGTTAGGAAAACCTAAGACGATATTTCAAACAAAAATATCCGTACCCTCTTGTCCTTGGATGTTTCCTGTCAGGGTTTCAGCAGTAAAGTTCTACAGAGTGTGAGTTTTTGTTTACTAAGTAATTTATAGAAACATTGGAATATTTATTGATAAAGTATATATTGTTATTTACATATGTTAGAAAGAGTAATAAATTAATGAGGTTGAAAGAAGCATGTATAGATCACATACAGTCTATTAGAGTGTAGTGACCTTCTTTTAAAAGTAATTTCCAAGTAGACAATTTTCCAGGAAGCTTCCTTTAACTCTTATCTTTCTGGAAAGGATAAAAAATTTATAATAATCTTTATTAAAATAAATTTTCTCATCCATTAAAACTTCAGCAATTAGCAAAAAAAACTTGCTTTAATTCTTCCTTATCACATAAAACTTAAAATGGATATTTGTAGTATATATAGAGGAATTTAGAATAACATAATACATATAGATTGTGAAAAAACTATTGCTAAAGTCACGATTACTTTGTCTAACTCTTGCATTCTTATTCTTAGTTGAAAAGCAATGTTAAATTTACCTTCTGCCCTTCTTCTATAAAAATGAATATATATATATATATATCAAATAAATCTCAATTATAAAAAATTATTATTTTCCATATTTATTTTACTATTATTAATCCTTTATTTCATTTCTCAACTCTTATCCTTCCCACCGTGTTAAGGAGAAATTAATAACACAACATATATCTTGTATTGTTCTCTACCTTCAATTCTTATTTGAAGATAAATAATACTATAATAAATTTGCTGTTAGTATAGTTAATTAAAGTTTAAGTAAGATATTGTAAAGAGTTTATATTTACTTAGATATTTGACTTTTTTCTCTTGTTTCACCTTAAAACTATCTTTATTGAATATGAAGGAAATAATAATAAAAACTAAATCAATTGAAACCCAACGTGACTGATTGGGTTTGCTATGATTTTATTTATTTCGTGATTAGATTAGTATTGTAAAAGAAAACTTGGTATTTAAGATATTACTTAACAATTCGCTTAACTGACTCGTCTTTCTTTTCATTTTTCTTTTTTGAAAGTTTATACGGCTTGAAAGGAAAAAATAGAAAGAAAATAACCTTTAAAAGTTTATTGTTATGAATGAATTGGATCAGTTTACTTTGTTGTTTTTTCTTTTCTCTCACTCCCAACACCGTATATTATTTCTCTAATCTTTATGCCTTCTTTTCTCTTTCGAGTGCCACTACAATAATCTCTTAAATAAGGTAGTTACATAGAAAAAAAAGTGAAATATTCAATACGAAAATAACTTTTACAAACATTTCAACTTGAAATTTATATTATTTACTTTTTTTCTATAATAAACAATTTTTTTTGTCGATAGTATTATTAACTGTATTAACTGCATTTACTGTATTTAACATTAAGCTACTTGTTTTTCATTGGTTACTAAGTTTGAATAAAAACTCTTTAAGTAAAGAAAAGGTATTAATATCCGTTAATTAACTGGTAGTCTTTTAACCGTTTTAATTGTCCGATAAATCGATCAACCTTTTTGACTCGCTATTAGAAAAAGAAAGATAAAGGTCATAAATCAACAAGTCAATATAAAGCGATTGTAATTGTAAAATGCTATAGATTGTGCCGCCATCTTTCGGGTTTATCTTATATACACAATATATATTATATATAATTTTTTCGTTTTCGTGTTTACCAATTAAGACAAATTGGCCATTCTTTAATAATTTAAGATTCTTATGAGCAAAATTGGCTATTTTCTATTAATTATTTCTATTCTTTTTAATGATCATCGATTAACGTGTTATTGTACCTAAAACTTTTGTTGATGATGAACAAAAACAGAACAATTAACCAACCATATAATGTTCAAAATCTCCAATAAAACAATAGTAATCCTTGTTTAAGAATGTTCAACTGGTATCTATTGTTTTTAAGGTTTTCATTAATAATCAAATAATTGTTTACACGTTCTAAATATTTATATACCGAAGATAACGCGATTGTATATAAAAAAATATATTCCTTATCGTGAGAATTAAACTTTTATCCGATGGTTTAATCCTTGACTGAAAGGTTTCTTTATAGAGTAGAGTTCGATAAGAATCGATTTTAATGATTTAATGGTCGTTTTATTGTCTAAGCTATCAATACATTTTTAATTGAATTCATTATAGTTTTGCGAATATCTTTCTACGTTTGTCAGCTTTCCTCACGCTATTCTTGAGCAATATGAAATTCTGTTATAAAAGTTTTCACTATAAGAATTTAGAGGCTAAAAATGAAAGAAAGCCTGGAATATTTTTAAAGCCAATTAGTAATAAGTAAGTTTATTTTGCTCTTTCTTTTTATTATTATTCCTTTTACCAGCAGCTATCTTGTAGAATATCTGTTGATTAAGCTTAATATTCTTTAAAACATGCACAAATATATATATACATATATATCTATATAGATATCTTTATATATATATATATAAATTTATATACTATATATATTTCTATTGTTAATTTATATTTGATTGATCTTTTTTCCATTGTCACGTCTGCAATCAGATTTTAGGTAACATGTTTCATCATTTGTCAAGTTATTTTTTTTTCGATTGAAACAAATCAAACCTGACTTTGCTTAGTCATTTTTTTTTCAAGTTTAGATTTTATATTTCAACTCTCCGATAAAGATAAATTCACTATTATTATCAAACATTTTAATAATAATATCAAATAGCAATATGAGGTCGAATAGAGATGGGACTATCATCTTGAATAAAGCCCTTATTTCCACTTGTCCTTGGATACTTCCTGTTAAAATTTCTACTTTAAGATACTTCAAAGTGTGAGTTTTAATCATTTTGCTAATTAATTGTCTGTAATTAATTTGTCACATAAACTTAAATGATTTGTTACTTTAAAAATAACAAAAAAGGAATGAAAAAACAACGACAAAACTAATTTATTATACAATCTGAAGGAAACGAAATGATCTAGTTTTCAGACAGATTTCATTGTATTTAGTCTTCATTAATTAGGTATTTTATCCTTTACGAAGAAGGATTTTTACTTCTCAGTCTTATTTTAAAACAAATTGGAGTTAAGTAAAAAGGCCGTTTTTTTAGTCTTTATAAGCAATTTCAAATCTATCTTTACAATTATTTTCTTGTTTAGTACAATTTAGAAATGATAGCTTTTTCTTAAACGTTGAGGTTAACAGTAAAAGAATGTTTGATAGGCCAAAAACTAACGCAGCAAATAGAAATGTATAAAAGTAGGATCCTGTCAGATCCCTAAGAGAACCTCCAATGAACACGCCTATCAAATTGCCAATACTCTGAAAGAATATTGAAAATCCTGTGGCTTGAGAAATTTCATCAGGCTTTACAATCTCTAATAGGATTGTTGTTCTTTGAGAATGAAATCCACCTTCAAATATTCCCCATACGATACCTATAATCATCAACAGCCAATATTGCGTTGACAGGTGAAATAATGCTGCTGTAATAGAAATAACTATCCCTAGTAATGATTCAAGTTTAATCAAACCAAATCGTCTAAAGAATGCTAAATCAAAAAGGAAGCCAAAAAAGAATCTTCCTATCATATCGGATAATCCTGTAATTGATAAGAGGAGTGAGGCTTTTGTTCCACTAACGCCACAGTGTTCTTTTATAAAATCTGCCAAAAATGTAAGAATGGTTTGTATCATAATTGGCATTGAAATGATGACGAGAGCATAAACTATGAAATAGATATTCTTGAGGATTGAAAAGTTAAAAAGCTTTGATGTGACTTTTTTCGTATTTATGTCCGTATGCAATGGTCTGTATAGTGCTGCCCCTACGCAACAGTTTAATAGAATTGCCGATGTTATTAGCATAGCTCCTCTGTATGAATACGTGTCAAGGAGGTAATTGATAAGGTTGGCCTGGACAAGCATTCCAAATCCACTGCCTATTGTAGCCCATGCCATTGCTTTACCTCTTTTTTTGTCGAAATATTGCGTCAGAATGAGATAAGATGGCGTGAAGATGAATGCACCCCCTATTCCTCCTAATATTCCAAAAGAGAGATAAATCAGCCAAATATTTCCAACAAAAGATGAAAGGAAACAGCCAAGAAATTGAACAAGGCTACCGATGAAAACAACTTTTCTAATTGAATATTTAGAACAAACAACGGAGGCAACAGGACCAAGTGTCATTCTGAATACGTTAAAAGTAGATATAATCCCACCGGTTACTGCAGAGCTACTTTGAAACATTTCACTTAAATCCATATAGAAAACTCCAAAAGATCTGGCTAGTCCAACTTGAAGCAGATGCATCAAAAAACACCCCAAAAGTATAAACCATCCGTATCCTCCATCTGGAGCATTCCGTTCAGTTGTAACATTGTTGCTCGCCACTTCCTTGAGTTTTTCTTCTTCCGTAATGCCGTTGATTGTTTCGTCCTTTACATCACATTTAGACGTTTCCTCCATCTTTTGAAATCTTTAAACAAATAAATGAAATAAATTTCTATGACATAAACGAATATATTGCCATACAACAATGAAATGGCAAATATACTAAAGTAAAACATTCTATTCTATATATAGAAATTAACTCCCGGTAATCTATCATAGCCTATTTGATACTTGATTGTTATTTGGTGGATAGAGAGAGAGTTGTTAAAGATAACTAAAGTGAAAAGAAAATATCGTTTTTCTAACTTTTAAACTAAACTATTCACTCATTTAGAAATACAATTAGATCTATATTCTATAGTAGGTTGTTTGTTATCAATATAAATATGATTAAAATATGTCTAAATACACGTAATATTTAATATACAATAAAAATTAGATATATTTATTTATTTAAAGAGAGCTATCAAGTAGAAAACATTATGAGCTATTTAGGAGCTAAAAATAGAAAAAAAGAGTAGAAAATGCAAGTGTAGGAATGTCGGAAATTGATTCTAGTATATGTCCTTTACTTCCATTCTTTTTTTTATAACTATAAAGGACATACTTAGTTTAAAGTTTATTTTACATTCCATGTTGCTCTGGTTAACGTGTTAGTTGTTATGTAAAGTGTAATAGATTATACAAATTAGAAGACTACGTAACAATGTATTACGATAGAACCTAAACTTGTTCATATTCTTCATTTAAAAGTCAATAAAATTACATTAAAACATACAAAAATACTAAATTTTAATGATATAATTACAAAATCAATTCTATATTGATATTTTCCCCCTTTTTAATAGGTTTTTTATCAAAGTAATCATTTTCATTCTTTTTAAAAAATGAGGCAAAATTTTAATACTAATTACCTCTCTCTTTCTCTCTCTATTATAGCGAATACACTCTTTTTAAGCTGTAATATACAGTTTATATGTATAGAGTAATGAATATTTATTCAAAAGGTACTGTGTATAATGATAATATAGTGTACAAATAGTATTCTGTTACATCATTCTTCTCTACAAAAAAGCTTTTTAATATTATTCATTCAAGTTTAAATTACATACTTATCAATGGTTTTGCACTGTATGATATAAGCATATATACAGTGTATATATATATATATACAGTCTATATATGAATATAATCTATTTTTTCCTGTTGCAAGTAGCGTCTCCGTGCGGAAAGAAAATAGTAAAATTATTGATGTGTTATTATTTACCATTTCCATGGTTTAAGGTTAATGTATGTACATAAAATTAACTTCTCTTTATGTACAGATCATTCTTAAATGTAACTCAATAAAGTGTATTTTAAGTAAAACTTTAAAAAATAAATCAAGAAGAAATTACTATACTCGAGGGCTATTGAATTGATTGTATTTCCTTTTGAAGTAGGTTTACTTAATAAATTACTTTATTTGTTTTTCATTTCTCCATGTTCAGTGCAACATCACCGGGGGCTACAGCGCCTTATTCAAGTACTGAATTAATAGGTTCTTTCAATAACGATTCGAGTAGGAATCAACAACTACAAGAGAGGGAGGCAAAATTGGAAACACCTCCTCCTCAACCTCCTCCTCCTCTTCAACCGTCAACGTCTTCTTTGAGTAAACGCAACAGAAATACTAATAATACACTTTATCTTAATCTTAGAGAGAAATGTAAATATGACATTTAATTTATTAAATATCCGATTAATATACTATTTATTAACTCTTTTAGCTAATGAAAAGCAAAAAGTGGAGCAAACTGAAATCTCCAAGCCTTATACTTTTAAACCTTTTCAAAAGCATGGTCTTGTAAATGGTCAACAGATGTCGTCACTAACTAGTCAAATAAATCAAAACGAGGAATTAGTTGCAACGAGTGCTTTATGGACCTCTCAGCCTAAAATACGCATTCAACCGTTCAATAGCCAATCGATGCAGATAACAGCTCCTCCTTCCTATCAAAATAGGAAGTTAGCTACTAGACAACCCATATTGAATGCCCATAGTAGCAAACTCAACAATTCAAGTAAGTTAATTTCTGTCTAATTTTGAACTCTTAAAAATATCCAAATTGATTGAAATCAGATGATTCCAAGTACCCGGATCCAACGTTTGGTGCTCCTGCATATTTCATGCAAAGAGTGTACGATATATCAGCAGTAGAGGCAGATACAATCAGGTGGGAAAGAGCTAGAAAATTTCGAAAGAAAAGAGATCAAAATAGTAGCTCTAATTAACTGTAAAAGTAAACATTTTCGTTCCATATTACAAATATACAACTATATTATTCTAAATATAAAGAAGCATATTAATGAATATATTGCACAGTAAATAAAGTATTGCCGCATAGTTGGAGTGTCTCTGACTAATCTCTTAAAAGAAGATTTAACGATTAAAAATATAAGTCTTACGGCCTATAACAATTAAACAGCTCTCTGAAAGAATAACGGTTTATTTTAATCGCTGTTTTTTTATGTACAAGTTTGAAGTAAAGAAAAAAGAGACTATGCGTTGAAAGTGGAACAATTTTCTTGTTTCTTTGCTAGTTTAGATCTTTCTCTTTAATAACAGAGATAATTTTACTTCCAACTTGAAAGAAGATCGAATACTTTTGTCTTTGATTTGAGATTTACTCGAAAAAAATTTGTAAAATAAAGTAGAATAGCTTAGGATATAAGGAATTATTTTTTTTGCTTCAATTCTCATGTTTTTACCACATCTTTCCCTCTTTATTTCCTCTTCATCTCTGTCCCCTAGTGAAAAGATAACGATATTTCGAAGCAATTTCAATATAATTTAGTAAATATTTAAAATGTTCCTCCTTATTAACATGTCGTTAATAATAAATTGCACTGGAATCTTGAGAGTCATATAGACCTGTATTGAGGCTTGTTGGATCCGCCTGTTTCTTATGTTGAATATAAAAAGCTTTTGGAAAAGTCGGAAAATTTGTTCCATCTTTTCCACCTATTTCCCAAGTTAATTCCGTTTGCTCAGCTTCTCCTGCATTTCCATCAGCATCTTGACGACTTGTCTCTGTAAATTCTACAGATTCTATAAAGTTATTGCTTGAAATATTGTCACGTTTTGATGTTTTTGACTGACAATGTCTCCACCATTCGGAGAAGCCTTTTGCTAGCAGAGCAATAATTATTAACCCTAAAAGGGATATAAAAACTATAGCAGCTATTTGTGAAGGAGGTAAATCAGATGAAGCAGTTGTAGATGGTTTCCAAAAAAATGGAGGAGTAGATCGTACTAGAACAGGAGTAGACTGATTGTACAATGAATAAGTCGTATCATCAATATAAACAGTCGAAATAGACGTTTTTACAGCAACATGAAGCGTTGTAGTTTCTGCTTCAGGTTGTTGACTAGCAGTTGATTCTATTTCTGCATGAGTTGATATTTTTCTCCGAGTTGTTTCATATATGCTCGTCGTAAGTAGTGAAGATTCTAGAAATATTTTTTATTAAGTTGTATACAAAATATATCTGGAATAAATATTTTACCCTCATCAAGCTTAATGGCAGAGTATTTACTTAATTCGGATGAATAAAAATTGTGACCATAAAGGCAAGCATTCCCATTTAACTTATCTTGTATGTTAAATGAAAGAAACCAAGTACCATTTACTTTGAGGTATCTCTAGAATGGTTATAAAAAGAAAAAAAAGAGAACATCTATATTTTTTTAACTATGAAAAGAATATTAAAAAAAAGGAACATGAAAAAAACTCAAATTACAACGCAGTAGTAAACAGAGGAAATTTGAGAATCCAAGTTATCAACTGTCATTAATAGCAATAAATTTCCATTAGCATCAGAGTCGAAAAAACTTCCGTTCACCTCACTTCTACATTCGAATTTTCTATTATAAGGAAAATCTAAAATGGGATAGAAAGTATTTAAAATTTTAATATAAGTGGCCAAAGAAATTATATTTATTTATACCAAAATGTATTGAATCATTTTGACAAGAACTAAATTTCATGTTGCTCCCTTTAATAGATACGTTTGGCATATTTCTACAATTTGTAATAGTACCACTGCCGATAAATAAAATATCGTAGTTGCCTTCTGGGATAGGACAGTTAATTCTAGAATGTAAACTTGGATCTGTAAAAATATTTTTCTAGTCTTCAAACTATGATATGAGGTTTTTCTAGAATTACTCACAATTAACAAACCATATAGCTGCATATTTTTTAATTTTTAATAGGTTAAGTTGTAGTAAACAATGCGATGCCTCCGTTGTTACAATGTCTATTTGTGAAATATTATTCATTATATTATTCATGCTTTTTAATAAAAATGTTGAGTAAATTGGTAATATTTACTATTAAAAAATATTTTTCTATCTCCTATTTAAATAATATCCTCTATATTATGACAAACTGATATCGATTGTCATCAGTATTACATTCAAACGTTGCTATTACATATTTGCATATTATTTCGTTCTTTGAAGCTATTTAAATACTTACCATTTTTGAAAAATACTACAAACAAATGTAAATCGTCCGCTTTTATTATTTTCATACAACCGGAAGGGAATCCAGGTTTCTCTTCTTCATAGAAGATGTAATATTCCTTTATATTTCCATCAATCGTATATGTCATATCTCTACAGGCATAGCTATTACTTTTCCATGTAAAAGAGTCCTTTTGAAATTCTAAAATATTTTCATTCTGTTCTATATAGCCAGTAAACCATTTTAGAGGCCAGTTCTCATTTCCGTTATAAAACGTAAAACGCCAAGAATTAGGAATATTACAGTAGGAAGTGCTTAATGATATTAAACATGAAAGGAAAAATAACCGTGTCAGTAAAAGCATAACTGTCCCTCTTTAGAATATCACTTCATATAAGTACTATATGCTTGTATATTATTTACAATTTACCATAATTTGTAAAATGATACTCCTTCACTTATTATCAAAAAGTAAGGAAAGATATTAAACTAAATAGGCATAGTTTTAGTATTAAAATTTCCATGTCTTGTAAAAAAAAACTACTATACTTCACATTAATAAGACTTTTTATTCTACAATTAAGTAAAGCATTTGATTTTATCCTATTTTTATAAATATAAGTAAAGGTAAAATTCACAATAAAACTACTTCAAAGGAGAGTAAATTCATTTTGAAGAGGTCTCCTTTTTTTGTCTTTCATTTATTTTATTTGATTTTTTATAATCAGCTTAAAACTAAATTGCGCCATATATAATGTTACAGAAAATCAACTTGTATTTTCTAAATATAGTCTTACATTAGCTATTAGAAAGATGCTAATCTGTAATAAGTTATAATACCAAAAAAGTAAATTTTCTCAAGTTAGGGGACAATTTAATAAATGTTCCATGCGTTTACATATAGACTAACACTCTATATGTTTAAATACAAATGTATATTTTTACTTATCTTTCTAAATATTCTATCTGGTTATCGATCAACAAAACTATCCATCCTTAATACACAATAAAAGACTTGTAAAGCTGGTTGGCTAACAATGTATTGACATTAAAAAAAGATTAATTAGTATGTTGGGAAGAGATTAAAAAGATTCTATCATAATCAGATAAATTTATATTCTTATAAACCCTGTAATTTAACCGATCACTTATTAGTTACAAGAACATTTGCTTATATAATAAGACGCCAGATGGCAATAAAACATTAATTGTTCTATTAGATTAATTTCATTATGTAGCGTTAAAACGTAATGTGTTGTATTATACAGATATGACTAAAGAATATTATACTGACTTAACAATATAAACTGAGTGCATCAGTCTGCTAACGAGAAAAAATAGCAAGTTCTTGAAGATATTACTTTCAAGAAATATTTATTGCTGTCACAGCTGTGTAAAGAGGTTTGTTAGATTTTTAAATGAAGAAAAAGAGATAATAAAAGATATAATTATATTATGATAAATGAAAACTAATATCTAATACAAAATATTTTAAGAAATGGAAAATATAGTTGTTTTATTATAATAAATTTACAGAAGATGGAGGATTGTATTAATTTATGAAAAAGAGATATAAAAAAAATACATATAGGCTTAATTAGGTTTAATCTTTGTCTGACGTAAAAACATTAGAGAAAATCTTCACTTAATGTTTAAATTAAAAAAATACAGTATAATATAATTATACTAGTGTTTCTCTTTCTTTGGCGTTTATTCTACAAAGGTTGAAGGATAGGCGCAAGTTAATAGAGAAAAAATAGGAAAATTAGACAAGATATCTTGGATATTAGCCGGTTTTCCAGCTATATGAATTTATAATAGATGGAAAAAACCTAGATTTTAATGCTGTATCGTCAGAAAATAGAACAGAGTCCATCGAGAGAAGAAACACATTACATAGGGAAAAAGTATACATTTAGGCAAGACTTGAAGTAAATAATTCCACAAAAGATAAGTAAGATGGTGAATATCTAATTGTACACCCGGTAAAATGTATTTTTGCAAACATTTCCTACGAATAGATTATTTAGAATTCTATGGCAATTTTTTTTGCAACTTGTATTTTCTTGTAGCCTTATCCTCCTTTTTTCTTGCACAATACAATGTTTATTTTTTTTTATATCGAGTATGTCTTGAATGAAAAATCTTTTATACTAAACTCCAAAAGCAACAACTACTATGTTTCGCAAAAGAGAAGCATTTCGTGACGGCAGGAGAAGCAACGCTTACTTATTTTTTTTCTCATTAATACTTAAAATAAATTAGGAAAGTTAAGACTCAAAAAATACAATTTCGTTGATGTGAATAACGTAGTCTTATGCATAACTTAGCAAAATTATTTTTTTCCTAATAAGATAATAATAATTTCTGTGTAGCATATTTTTTCTTCGTCAAAGGGTAAAGAGAAACTTGACAATTATTCCGACATATTTACTTATTCTTATAATAATCTACGCATCTATCAAATCTGACATGCTTTGCTTATATGTAGAGATATATGCTTTTGCTTGTAATAGAGTGAGAGAAAAAAAATTGTCTTTTACAGAATATTACTATCCAATTATGTCTATAGAATTATTTATTGTTATTTATGACAAATTATTAATAATATTAAGGTGTCTTTCAAAATTTTATCTTCTCTTATTCTCTTAATAGCTTTTGTTACTAAATTCACTATAATTAGTAATTCATTAATCTCTATTCTCCATTTGTACGCAATAAATTCCTAGAAATATTGAAATTCGATGCTTAACCCTCAAATACTAACATAGAACGATAGATTTAAATACAGGCTAGAACATCCGAGCTTATTTGAGCGTCTAAATGAGACCTTTTCTACCTTGTTACAACAATTTTTTTACATTGAATTGTAGACGAGCTTATAGTTTAGATAATATTGTATCATTATTGTATATTGTATCAGTAATACTAGCGTAAGTAAAGAAAAGATGTACAGTTCTTTAAAATCGGTTGAAAAAGAAATACATTGAGTTTTTGTTCAGTTGAAATATGAAAAGGCTATAAGTTGCACGTAACTTTAAATCATGAAATAGGAACTTTCTCTTCTTTCGCTATTGAAATTAAAAAAAAAAGAATATTTGTTTTTTGGACTTTATGCTTTTCTAGGAGTCTTTTTTCATCTTAAAAGATAACTTTTGATAATTTGATAAAAATGAAACTACACGTTTCTTCTACAATTTCTATTACATTTTTAACTTTTTAATTTCTAATTTCTGTCATTCTACTCATTTATATGACATTTTATTATATAGTACATTCATAGGTATAGACCAAAATACTCAAAATCAGATATATTTAATTAGATTTGAAATTTATAGCATTCATTTTCCCCTTTCTCTATATAGCATACTGTATATACTGTATATAAATATATTATTTAATCTAAGTTTTTAAATAGTAAACATGTATTAACAGAGCAGAAAATTAAATTGCTAATACTGTTGGATTACTTCAACATGTGCATCATATATACAGTATATACAGTATATATAAATTTTTATATACAGTATATTAGTCTATATACATTACAGTCATATAAACTAATAATTTATATGTTATATTTAAGTGTAATCTATTTAATATCCATGAAGAGATCATTAAACTATGTTATACATTAGTCATTCTATTTTTATAACTTTTTCATAATATATAACTAAGAGACTCCTAGCATCGAGAGAAGTCTATAAAGTAAAAAACAGAACCTCTTCTCATAGGTCTACCACTAAAAGTTACTTCTTTATATTTGAAGTAGAAAATTAATTAATTAATTAATAGCTAATTTTTGAAATTGTCCCTTTTCTAACCTTTTATTATAAACTAATTTTGAAATTACTAGAAAATAATTATTACATAAATCTAAAAAGAAAAGAATCTTGTTACTATCAATTTTTTAGCTTTAAAACGCTTTGTTTGTCGAGACTGATTATATTATCATAATACTTTATATTAATGATTTTTTATTTCAAAAAATCTCCATGACAGTTATCTACTGTATGAATATAGAAATATAGTTTTTAACATTTTCTTCTATTAGCATAGCTTCTTTACAGTATTCCCAATTCGTCGCCTTTGAAAAAGTAGCTTTCAATGTACTATACTTCTCTTTTGCTTTGTTCACGTACTTCTTTTCTTGACTCAGTCAGGGGTTACCTGGTAAAGAAATTCCGCCAAGTAGAAGAGAAACTTATTCTTTTTAAAGTAAGAAAAAGATTCCTGAAAGTGAGTAGTGTAAAAATGTGAAATTTCGTCTTAAACATACTTTTAGAAAGAGAAATAAATAGATAAAGTAAAACACGATATTTTAAAAGTAACTTAAAGCCCGGACACGCAATCTTTCAGAGTCTATGATATATTACAAATTGTACAACATGAAGGGGTCGAGTTTTTAATATTTTACCATTCTATAACTATTTATCTATCTTTAATCTACCATTAATGACATCGACTTTCAATTGCGAAGAAAATCACGATAACACATTAGAGGTTAGAAGTGGTCGAAAAAGAATACAAAACAGAACAAGAGAGTTTAAGTGAATAAACGTGAAAAAAGGTAAAAGAATTCCATTCTTAATTAACATTTACAATTTAGTTCATTTAATAAATAATAGTAGACGGATGGTTAACATGTTAAGAGAAAAAATCAGAAATTTTAAGAAGAGTTGATATTTTTTCATTAACAAATTTTATAGAATGAAATATGATTTATTCATCTTGTTAACAAATCTTATTATCAAAAAAGGAGGGAGGAGCTTGATTTTCTTCATATTTTAATATATATTCTATCATTTTGGAAGATAATTAATAAAAGTAATGGAAACAAATATTAGTAAAGTTAAATTTTGGAAACGTAGAAATTTAAAGATAAAATTCATTTAAACATTTTTTTTAGTTTCCAGTAATTTTTATTGACAAATTTTTGAAAAATGGAGGAGGTAAAATTTCCGGCAGGATGGCTGTTTCTGAAAAAAGTTAGATGTTAATCAGATAGAAACCCATTTTTTAAAATTTTTATGACATTCCTGAGTACTATCAGACCATTCTTCAGAACAAATTATTGCAAAACTTTGAAAATGGGTAAAATAAGCCTAGAAATGCGAGAGAAAATTGTGGAACTGGACAGAAGAGGGTTAAGCCAAGTAAAGATCTCCAAAGAGCTAAAAATTGCTCGCAGTGCTATTCAGTACAATCTAAAAAAGAAAGCAGAACATTTTACTATAGAGGACAGATTCAGGTCTGGCCGCCCCAAAAAGATTTCAGAAGCAGACAAGAGAAATCTTATTATGATTCAAAAAAAGAATCCCTTTTATACAGCTAGACAAGCTTATAGCCAATGGGCCATAGCAGATAAGCTGAGTTTATCTTCTT